ATTTTTTTTTTTGGTCTTTGGCAGCCTGAGCCATCGCATTAGGGCTAAGCAGGTGGCTCGAACCCGAGCCTGATGGAGTCTCTGATGTAAGCCGAGTGTTCTGTATAATTGATGACATCGGAGCGAGTCCGCACAAGCAGGTCAAGGCAGGTGGCTGGGGGCATATCCCAAGGCCAGTTGGGCACGTCTTTCAGGTAACCAAGCATTTAAATCGCTCACTCTTCTTTCTTTCTTTGGGAGTAATCCCTTGAAGTTTATCATTTAAATACGGAGATGTTTTCCTGTATAGCTTTTTTAGAAAGAAAAACTATCGTACCTAAAGGCAGCAAAAGTCTACCAAAAGCACATTGCTTTGGGTACACTTCTTAGCAAAGAATTTGAAAACTGCTTAAAGATAAGCATTTTGAAAGCATTGAAGTGGGAAAAGTTGAAATCATATCTTAAAAAAATGCCAATAATTTTTATATAGTTATATAAACTATATATTCAGATTCCTTTTGCTATCTTCCACAATATTTGCATTTTGAGTACAACTGAAATCGAATAAACATTCCAAATGGATCAGATACACAGGCTAAAATGTATTTATGATTCAATAAATTCCATTTAAATTGTTTTCGCTTTGTATGAAAGTTTTCATTCTTTTTCACATTATCCTTAATATAATAATAATACAATTTTAAATCAGCTATCACTATCAGCACTGACATCGGACTTCTCCTTGATGCAGTGCAGAAAACGATTTCCCCAAATTCGCAGATAACCAATTTCACACCCAATGCCAGATGAAATTCCCATCGGTCAGCGGTGAACGAAGCAAAAATCGATTTTGAGCGGTTGAGAGGGGGGGGCTTAGCCCTACTCCGCTCTTTGAGGCTCCACTCGTGCTGGCAATAAAGCATTCCCAGGACCCATAATATTTGCCTAAACAAATGCCAGGGTCCCTTTGCATCGAAAAAACCCCCTCCGGCGGATCCTGGCTTAACCTATGACAACAACCTGAGTACAAACATTGCCAAGCGCAAGGACGATGGCAAAGGCATTCCCTGCTTGCAACAAATTTATGCGGTCGGTCGCATAAACAAATTTCAACTTTAAAACAAGACGAACAAAAATTGCAAGCTGGCGCAAGTTGAAAAAAACCAATTCGATTTTGCCATATGCAATGTAAATCCTCCGAGGATTTCAAGCGGCGGAAGGGGGAGTACGTAGGGTACGTAGGGACATGCGGCACATGTTTCCAGGTCCAAGAAGTTGAAAGAAAAAATGTGGAAGGAACGGAAAAAAAAAACGTTTGCATATGCTTTAATCAAAGGCAATGACGTACGGGAATGTGGTTCATTCTTAAAAACGTAGCCAGGATTCCGGAGAGGGTTATAGAGGGATGGGTTTATGGGGGGGTTTTTTGGGGTGTGCGGTGGTGCGGGGTTTCGAGAGAGGGCTTCCTCCAGAAACGGAACTGTTGACAAAGCCATGCGGGTAGCTTCTGCTCAGCCAGGATTGCGAATGGACATTTGTGATTGTCCGTTTGCTAGGACAGCGCATGCGCAAGGGTTAAACCAAAAGAGAGTGTGGATAACGGAGTGTGGAGAGCGGAGAGCGGAGAGAGCTTTGCGACTCTCTTTCTCTGCCGCCCTTTCTGCGGCTTACACGCCCCAATGGGTGGTTGTTGTTCTCTCGGCAGGGTTGCTTTTGACATTCTGTTTGCCATGTGCCCCACTGTAAGTCGGATATACACTGAGAAAAATAATCTTTGAAAGTAAAAAAAATTACAAAAATTAAAATTATGTAAAATTGAATAATTTAAGATCTAATAATGATGATGAAGATGTTAGATTTTTTTTTTAATGATATACATAAATCAGCACTAACCTATCCATTCCAAATGAGACATCATATGACCAAAAATCAAAATATGACCAATTTAAAAATGTTTCTTCAGTTAAACATTCATTATTCATAGTCGACTTCCTTAATTATTAAGAATATTTATTTTAAATTTTTTAATATTTACTTTTCAAACAATATTTCTTTCAGTGCAACCTCCCCGCTGCCCCCATTTCGACGCCCATCAACCCCCTCGTTTCTTGGTTGCCGCTTATAGCTTTTTAATTACAAATAGAAACTGTTAACATTTTTGTTTACTTTTATTAAACTAATTGGATGAGGCAATGTCGCTGCATAGTTGACATCCTGGTTACCTGGCCTTGGGTTGGGGATTTTCGGGACTGTTCAGAACCGCCCACGGTTAGGGGACAACTGACTTTGTCTACAGCGGTAATCCCTCGGGTCATTAAGGCGTCTACGTGTCTGCAACGGCAGCATCATCATCTCGCAGAATGCTTCCAGCCAGGACATTGTCGCCTGCCGATTGTCGCATGTTTTATTCAGTTTCTGCTACGTTCTCCTCATCGCTGCCATCAGGTTGTAAATATTGAACAACACCAACAACAACAACACTAACAACAGCAACGGCGACAGCGAGAGAACAACAACCGAGGACAGAAATCCACCGGAAGCTAAAATGGTGCTCATATTTTAAGATGTTGCATTTTTGATCTGACGCGACAGTTTTTTTTATTGCCCAAGACGAAGGACACCTTAATTGTTTGCAAGGAAAGAGGATAAAAGCCAAAAAAGATAGGGGAGAAGGGCTAAAATGGCCAGAGCCGCTGGGACATGTCAGTGGATTCGAAAAAGAAATGGAGAAAAAAACATATATAAAACGAAATAGAAGCAGAAATAGAATAAGAGATAGTAATAAAGATGGAGATAGAAATCGAGTTAGAAATGAAGATGGAAACGGAAATGGGGGAAAGAGGAAAATTATATGAAAGCCACTCAAGCTTAACGGAGCTACACATTTTGGCATTTTTATCGATAAGCCAAGTTGTCTGCCTTGTATCTTCGAGATATGAAAACTTCCATGGTCCTGCGTTTGATTGATAAAAACTTTGACGTTGCAAATGCCTGATGAAAAGTTTGCAAGTTGTAAACGCAAAGTTCGAAAAGAAAATGTCATAAGCAAGTTACATAAAATTTAGCACAAATGTTGCACTACAGCACATTTGACATTCCGCTTGACAGTTTCTAGATTACCAACATTAATTGGTAAATATGAAATGTATAATAGTTTGCTTGTAGCTAATGGGTTTTCCTACCCCCACTCGTATGTAGTTTTTGAATTCTCTGATTAATAAGTAACTTTCTCATTAGGATAAGTTTAAAGAAACGTTGTAAGATAAATTATTAAGAATCATTTGCAAATACTTTTTGTTAAATTCTTTAAGTTATCTTATAAATATATCTGATTCCTTCTTGACTTTCAAAACCCATTTTAATTACCCTCGCTCTCCCTTAAAACAATGTCCTGCCATTTATCGACTTTTTCATTGTTGCATGGACTTATATTTTTTCAACGCCGGAAAGGAGAGTAGTTCATTGGGACAGTGCAATGTTGACAACAACATTTTGAGGGTTGAACTTGGCTATAAATACGAAACTATAATGCTCCCAAAAGAAACTAAGCTGACATAAACAGACAACAAGACAGGGGATCACATGGCTTGGGGTTGAAAACTGGCCAGAATGGAAATATATTCATGAACTCACGTTCCTAAGTATTTCTGGATAGGTCTGTGGTGACGTCATTGCCGCAAAAATATGATTGCAATTTATTGGGAATACTTGTTAGTCTCTCTCAATATGTATATATATAAAATATGACATCAATCAATTTCGAGTATTTATCCTCTTAACTCCGCAATCCGCCGTCCTGAGTTTGTATATCAATATTTTGTGCAAAGACAATTTGATAACGAAGACGTTTAGCCATTTGCAGGGCCAACTTCAAGCGCTGAAGTGTCCCCTTCATTTTCCAGACCGCCTCCCTTTTGCACCTTGATTAATGCCCTCACTGTCAGGCCAAACACCTCAAGTGCCCATTGAGGCCCCGGCTCCCCTTTCTCCCTTTACATTTTCCACCTTTTCTCGAAGCTCGCAGGTGAGCACTCGTAAAACTCAAAAGCCACATCCGCCCGCCATATTAAATTCAGCAATTCAACTTCGTTTTCGTGCAAAAACAAAAAAACTGTCTATAAATACTGTTAAATGAGTGAGGTGAAGACTCCTGCGTACAAGGACACTGAGGAAAATTATATAGATAAAGGATGTGGCCTAAAAACCTTCGAGTTAGCTCAGCTTTAGGGATCTCTCATTTTCTAGGGAGATTTTTTGAATTTCATTCCTTTAGCTTAAACTTAAAATCTATCTGCAAATTAAATAGGAAGTAGTTAGTTTCATTTTTAAGATTTTTTCTTTTAATTATTTCTATAATATTTGCTTTTAATCCCAAATTATGCTAAATTTGGAAAACTCTTCTCAGTTTTTAAACCCTTTTTTCTCTATATGTGTGTAGCCATACGTAGTTGCGGTTGTTTGTGGTTTCCCCCTGAAATAATTGTGGGTGTATGGGTGTTTGTGTGTGGGGACGCACGGATGGATGGTTCGATGTTGTTTCCCAGTTGTTTTTGGTTGAAAATCGATAGGAACAAAAAATCCATAAAAACAAAATAGCAACAAACAGGAGAAAATTGTGAAAAATGCATAACATTGCTGGAAAAATATATGGCGGATGCATGCCATCCATAATTCCATATGGACAAAAAACAAAAATAAAATAATATTTCCGAGAGGCATGAAGCATAATCAAGACAAGAAAAGACAAGAAAATATTAGGTTCATTATGAAAAATAGTAATTTTTCTTTCCTTTTCAGTTTATAAACTCAAGACTAAAAATATAACAAGCTTTTAAATATTTTTATGGAATATAACACCGAAAACAAAACCAGACTTTCCTCATGAATTTAGATTTTAAGAAATAAACTAAAAATACCAACTGTTTAAGTACCTTTAGTCCGTGAAAAAGCCCCAAAGACAAATCGTTAACAATATGGTATAAATGCAAACCTGCTATGGATAATATATGGGCTCTACGTACCAACTATTTCCGTTCGGGTGTAAAATTTCAGAGGCTTTCGGCCTTATACAAATCACTTCCGGGATGAAGCGTTCACGTTGTTGCACCCACAGTGCACACATATACAGACACCCACTGCCGCTCACACATACACAGAGACAGCTGGCCACGAGACACCAACACACGGCCGCAATCGCCTACACCTACACAGGAACACTCACACACACAGACGAGCGCGAAGAAAATGAAAAGGAGCTGCAACCTTTTGCCTTTTTTTTCTCTTTGTATTTGCCAAAAAAATACTTTTTGCTTATTTTCTTGTGCCGCTCCTTAATTATATAATTTCGTTTCACTAAATGCACTTTATGATTTTACGCAATTGGCGCACATTCGTCGCATGATTTGCATAAACATTTTACTGATTTTTCCCACAGCACACACACGAGCGCGGTCTGTGACGTACGCACACACACACACACACACTCACATAGAGGCGTACTTATTTTCTCCTTTCTTTTTTTGTTGCCTATAATCGCGCTGCCGTTTACAGTTGGAAAGAATGTTTCAACTAAAATAGTGTTTGTCCGTTCTTTTTTGGCCACGGCAAACGTTGTCTACAAACTGAATGATTTTATGGAGCGAAGCTCGTGAAAAGCCGCGCTCTGTATAAAGTATAACTGTGAAAAGCGTGCCAAAGGGAAGAGAGCAACCTTTTACAAGAGAGAGAGCACGAGAGGGTGAGCGTGCGAGAGAACGAAAGCCTGTGAGAGCGGAAGCACTTGCCATAGTTGATGTTGTTGTTGGTATTGTTCTTGGTGTGGTGGTAGTTTGGCGGCCACAGGGTGAATAGAAAACACACTGAACACCCTGTGGAAGAGGCAACATGCGCACCGAACAGTGGGCCTAAATAGAGTGTGGGTGAAATTTGAATTTCAAAACAAGTTGCAATATTTATCTCAATAATTACTGTGTATGTTTCAAGATACATTTTGTAGCACCGTTTTTAAGACAACTCTGTTTGTTATACTTTATAAAATAAATCGGTGTCGATACATAGTCTCTAGTACCTTATCTTAATATCTTTTTTATATTATTGTAAATGGAGCAATTTACTTGATAGCTAAAGGGACATTTGATCTTTATACGCATTCGCTGAGATTAAAAATACCCGCCAATGCTTATCGGTTGCTATCGAAGTTTGGCTAGAACCTTATCCGATACACAAACCGGAAAAGCTGTGAAGTGTTTGAGTCCAAATAACGAAAGTACAGGAAAAAATCAAAGCTAAAAAAAACAAAAAAACATTCAAATGTTTATTAAGTTTTAAGTAAGGGAATTATGCTCAAGCGAATAGTACACGCAAATATAGGAACTCAGTTTAACATTTTAAAAATATAAAATAAAAGAACTGGACCAAAGAAAATGAAAATACATGAAAGCAAACGTCAAACGAAGAGCCCACTCGACAACGCTTTGCAACAGAGTGACTCGTGTTCAAGATCTGACAGATTTACGGATCCAAAACTAATCCCACCGAAAGTAAAGAAATATAGTCGAAAATAAAAATACAAAGACCAGACAGAATTTCAATTTGTATCACTTTATTCAACGTTTTACGTTAATATTTTGTTGCTTTTTATGAATATATTCTTTACCGTACTTTAGCTGTACTTATATAGGTGTATGGGGACTGCTCTCGATTTGAACATTTATATAAATAATTATAGACGCCACTTGCTAGACATAACATTACGGGTATAAACTTAGTCTTACTATGTACGGGGGGGTTGGTGTATGTTTATGTATAGTCGTAATATTATAATATAGTTTATGTATAGATAGATATATGTACCGTTACATATCATTGCATTAGCACAGCACTTTAAACACTTAATTGCAAGTATAAATAATGAATGTTCTTGCTGTCGCAAATTATAACAATTTTCAACGGAAAACAAAATAAAAACAATCTACAATTTCTCGGCTCTTATTTAGAAATCATTGAAGTACTGCAAATCTCTTTGGTCTACTGCCTTGGCTGGCTTCCAATCCTTCTCGGGATAATCATCAAAATTTTTGGTATCACCATCATGATGTACATCAGGCATAATTGGTGGCTATAAATTGAAATAAATTTGAAAAATTATTATAATTATTTGATGTGAATATCATATATATTTTTTTAATAATTATTGGTTATTTATGAGGGTTTTAATGTTGGTAAAATAAAGATCTTACTGTAAGTCCATTAATTCAAAATTAATACATTGTAACTTTCACTCCTATATGCTAGTTTTGAGCAAGAAAAATACGGCATTAAATCTACAAAATGTAAAGAAAAATGCTTTAAAAAACCTTCAGCTTTTCCCTTTAAAATATCACCACAAAACATACGTGATTAGCGGGCAAAAAAACTGCAAAATGTGTGCAAAATTCAGCACGTTTGTAACAATCATTTCTGACGCATTTAACCCATTGACTCCCGCCGAATGGTGGGGGCGTTCATGTGAGCAATTAACACCTTCTTCTACCCAAGATGAGAAATGCCCCCTTTTGTTACATTTCACTCGCACTTGGACCAGCTGGGCTGGCCAGAGGGAATCGGTAGATTTATGAGTCTAACACCCACCCGTATGGCCAAAATAGACGCTGCGGTCATTAACTAAAGGCACAGCTAATTTGGAAAACTGATTTGTTTATTTGCTTTTAATTACGAGAACGTATAAAAATACATTGGCCGACTGACAAATAAACTTGGCCAACGAAAGCAAAAAACGATGACTGACAAAATCCACAAAAAGTAATAACCACAATTACTGCTAATTAAAAGAGGAAAATTCTATCAAGAAAGCGAACCCTTGAACTCACCTTAAGTTTCTTGCTGTAGACGTCATTCCAATTCAAGTGCTTGAACCAGCGATGCCTCTTCACGTCATCGGCGCCATTCTGTATGTGTTGGTAGTGAGCGTTAGTGGGAGGTATTCCGAAATCGGGGGGGCAAAACATAGAATAAAATACAAAATATTAGACATAAATAACGTTTTGCATTTGGCTGGCTCGTGTTGCAAAAACGCGCGACAAATCTATTAAAAAAAAAAAAAGGGGGAAAAAAACAACAACAACCGTGTCGAAAATTCGAGGGGAAATAAGAAAAATGATTTTGAAGAAAATGTATTAGGCTAACTGACAACGGGCATGTGCAGAGCTATTTGCGATAGCCAACAATTAATTTTTGATATATGCGATGCAATTTTTAATGCCAGCAACAAAATCTGACCATCCAACCGCGACAAGTGTAAACAATTCTCTATAAATATGGGGACTAATAAGCCGGAAAATGTTAACGAAAAGCTTGCCAAAGATTTTCAGGGGCAGGCATAAAACTGCTAAGTCAAAAGGATGGTAGAGTTTAAAGAGGTGGAATAAATAAATAAATAAACTTTGACAGGGCTAAATTTACTAATCATTAATGGGAAAATCAATGAAATAAAAGGAAAAACTTGATTGATGGCACAGCAGCTGAACAAACTTAATGCTCCAAAATATTTGTTTATTTATTTATTCCGTTTCCATTTTAGATCATTGAGACTTTTCTATATATTTATGTATATTTTTGAAAAATTGAGTATGAATCTCACCTTCATGTTGCCCAGTCGCTTGGTTCTATCATTCACCAGCAGCTTTTTGATCAAGTCTTTGGCAATGGGATCCATATGACGCTCCCACTCAATTTTACCGCTCAATATCTTCTCATAGATTCCGAAGGGCTGTTCATCGTAGAAGGGTGGATAGCCCACCAGCATTTCGTAGATAAGAACTCCTAAAAAATATGTCTCTATAAGTATTTTAAACTACAAAAGTTACTGAGTCAAGACTCACCCAATGCCCACCAATCTACAGCCTTATTATGCCCCTTGGACTGGATTATCTCGGGTGCTATATACTCGGGCGTTCCACATAATGTCCAAGTGCGATCTCTCAGTTTCTTGGCAAATCCAAAATCTGTTATTTTCAAATGGCCATCCCGATTGATTAGCAGATTCTCTGGCTTCAGGTCCCGATAGACAATCTGCAGTGAATGTAGGTATTCCAAAGCACTGACGATCTCAGCCGCATAGAAGTTGGCTAAAAGATAGGTCATTTCCATTAGATAAGAGTTCGGATTGGAACTTTCAGGTACTTACAAGTTTGACTAGTGAATTTTCCTGCATTTCGCAGATATGTGAACAGCTCTCCGCCGCAGACATAATCGAAGATCATATACAGATTTGATTCGTCCTTTGTGGACCATTCCCTGTAAGAAAACAAATCGATAAATTAATGAATTTTTAAAATTTGGAAAATATTTTTATTGTATAAATAATTTGTAGGAAGTCAGCGAAGTACAGCGACATATTGATTTATATTCCCGTTTGTATAAAAAAAAAAATCATTTTAAGTTTAAAAAAATATACAAATCTTATTTAAAAAATTGAAAACAAAGAACTTTTTAAAAGAAATATAAAATATTAAATATTTTCCACATTGTTTTACTTACAGACTGATGACAAACGGATGTCGAATTTCTCTCAATATATTCCGCTCGTTCTTAACGTGTTCAATCTGTTTGAGACGAATGACTTCGGTCATGGCCAAAATCTTCATGGCACAGTACTTCTCCGAAATGCGATCGCGACATAAGCACACTCGACCAAAGGTTCCAGTACCTGAAAGGCAGACAAAGTTGTAATGTAGGGTATCGGATTATCGAGTGCATCGAGGCTAAAACCGCAAACAGCATTCTTAAATATCGGGGCATTCCCCATTAAAGTGTTTTGCAAACGATATGGCAAAGGTCTCGGCTTACCCCAAACGTAAGAATGAAAACAGCAGAGGTTAAAAAAAATAGAACTAAGCAACTATAAGTTATATTTCCATAGAATTTTCTAGTAACTTTTGATTTCATATATAATATATATTTTTGAAGAATTTATAGTACTTATCAAAACATTTCATTTTCCAAGATATAGTCGGCCCTATTTATTGCACCCCTGCTGTACATTGCACATGGGCGGAGGGTGCATAATTACTATTTTCACTGTCGAGCACGTTTTGAGGTTACAAATACAAGCTACTACTACTACTACTACCATTGCGGCTACCTGGTTACATGGCCGGCTTGGGGTGTTGGCTTACACGCCCGGCCGAGATTTTCTCAACCTTGAGTTTTTAATTGGGCTAACGTCTGACTCGCTGGGCACTCACTTTCGGTGGGCGAACGAGTGACTAACTGGCAGGAAAGGAAACACGGAGCGTGTGAGCCACTCGGATTTCACATAAACACTTTCGGCCAGATACACTTATGGCCAACTGAGCGACGGCGGAAAATTTCTTCTTCTCGTTTTCTTCTGCCCTGTTTTCCATGGCATGCCGAAACAACAAAACGGCTACAAATTGATTTGTCTTATAAATCAAAAACCGAAACGCAATCATTTCCAATTCCAAGCTGCTCGCCAGGGCGTAGAGGAGGAGCGGAAAAAGTTTTCCTTTTCTGCAGATGCTTTTAGTTTTTCAGCACGTTTTCCCTGTGTGCGCGATGTTCGGTGTTCCCGATCATGCCAACAATAATTAGCCGTGATTTTCAATGTAATAAAGCAAAAGTGAGCAGATTATTGAACTCGGCCACAATCATTTGCCACGTGCGTTGTTCCTCCCACAAAGTTAAACTAAACATGCCGAATGAACAAAAACTTGCCAGAATAGTTGGCTACCTACAGTTGAGGTCAGAAAAATAAGTTCTAAGACCCGTATTACATTGTTTATTGCAATTAAGCAGGGAACTAATTTTTAAAACTTGAACATAAGTTAATGTTTTTATCTTAAGTTTATAAGTTTAAGAAGTTAGCACTATTATTCTGTCCATAACTGTAAGCGGGCACTGTATATAACGCTTCTCCCGCCCCATTTAGGTGCACCTGAAAGGGGCAAGCATTACACGTCCAAATCAAAATATGATTCCAGACATTGTAATTAATGAATTGTTCTTTTTGCCCAACACAAATCGGTTTTTCGTTACGTAGTTTCAATGATTCAGCAAGGCAATGGTCTTATATAACCTCTAAAGTGGGGATGAAAAAGCGTGCAAACTGAGGCTGAGAAGTATGAGAACCCCACTGATAAAACCCAGAGACGTGAGGCATCCAATGAGCTCATAACAATTTTTGTGAAATTAGTAGAAAATTTGTGCTTTTAAAAGCAGATTTGCAGATTTTCAGAATTTCCCAAGAAATACATTCCCTAAGAGCCAAACAAATTCCAGAGTGCTTGAAACATTTTTATAGACAGATTGCTCAAGTGAAAACAAAAGCCAAACAAGAGGAACCCCCCCGAAAAACAAACGAACTTTGAACACCCCTACTAAATGTTGCAATAACTAATTAAACCATCATAAATAAACAGCTCATAAAACATGCATTTATGGAAAATCTCTCCGAGATTTTCGCCTTGGCATCGGAAATTTGAAATTTAGCTAAGCGGGAAATAAATATTGAAAATGCCCCAGACGATATAAATCAAGCAGATATAACTACAGCCAATGATGGATGATTTTATGGTTGGAATTCAAATTCGGAGGCGGAATTGCAGACACCGGCACTTTGCATGGGATTTTGATTACGAAGCGTGAAGAAACAACCAAATGGCAGGAAATAATCAAAAATATTGTTGGGAAATAATTGGGAGAAAAACTGAAAGTTCTGGCTGGCAACAAGTTGCATGCCTTGCCGATGTGTGTGTGTGTGTGTGTGTGGAATAATTCCGGTGGCCGCGGGATGGCAACAGGAATTCGGCTTCGCTCTCTGGAGAAAATAGTTTTTTAAATATTTACATGTTTTCATAGTGGAAAATTTTATCCAACTTTATTCATAATTTCAGAGGGAGAGGGGAGAAGGTTGCTGGAGATGTAAACAAGTGAAATTTTGAGATTCCTGATCTGGATAATAATCATTTCCAATATTTACATTTATCTGCCTATGTTTACGGTGAGTCACAGTTACTAAATAGGTTCTTAAGTTAGGTGAGGATGAACACAAGACTAAAAACTATAATCCTGCATTTTCATATCTTAACTATTAAGAGTTACGATTTATTTTCTTAATCAGTGGTACTCAAATTCGTCTTACGGTAAACCATTTACTGACACAAATTCAAGAAAGCGTTCATATTTTTAGTGTCGCTTTTGTGTTGGTTTGCAGCTGTGCACTGAGAGAAAGAAAAACAGCTTTTTTCGCTAACCAATTGCACTGCTCCATTCCACTGCGGAATAAACTCCAAAGAGCAAACCGAAGTTACAAGGAATGAATTCCAGTGCAAAGTGTTCGAGGATGATGGAGAAAGAAAAAAGAACAGTTAGCGACGGAACGACGCAGAAAGAGGAACACGAAAAATTGTTGAAGGAATAACGCAGAGAGCCCTCAAAGCTTATGGGAGAGCAAGTCCATATGCAGCGGATATTTACAAAAACAAATAAGCACTCAAAGCATAGGCGTAGAGCACCCCTCTGTTTTAGATAAACTCAAAAACTAACCAACACAAACTTGCAGTGCATCTTAAGCCCATCTTAATGTTAAATTAAATCCACATAATCCGCAAGTTTATGTCAAGTACAATGACTGTGTAAATAGTGAATCCCCTCTGTAAGTTTCAAATGCTTTTCAAGCACGCTTTCCAAAAAGAAGCGGCATCTTCGCACTCGGCAAACATTTAAACTGATCTCTTAGCACCTCGTATACGATCCACTCCACCTCAAGACGATATCGACTAGTGCAAAGGAAAGTGCTTTTACCGATGTCTTAACCACCACTTCCAATTCCACTTCCACTACCTCGATTGGTAACTGCCCGCCGGCTGCTCCTAAATGTCTGGCCAAAGTGAAATTGTGACAGCTGCAGAGCAGACAAAACAAAGATTAAAGGAATGCACTGAGAACTATTATCATGACTTAAATTAAACTAAACTAAACTAAATGTGTTAAAATATGTTTAAAAAAATATATATTTTTGGTTGCGCTATACTGATGTATAGAAAATCCTTTTAAATTTTATATTTTCAATATAAAAAACCAAATAAATAAATTTAAATATCATTTATGATGATATAAGGTTTAACATATGTGATGATTAAAAACACATGTAAATTGGTATATTAAAAATATAATATAAATATTTATTATTCCCACATTTCTGCCAGTGTCAGACGATGCCGCAGACGACGGAGTCGATAGTCGGCCACAATTAAAGTCTGGCTGAGATGTGGCAAAACCTGTTGGCAATTGGCAGACGAGGCAGGCAGGCACATGAGAGCTGCAACTGCAGAGCAAAAAGTGCGTGGAAAATGGCGAAACATATTTTACATAATACATGCAACTTTCTATTTGACGATGAAGCGATGCCATAAACTGTCCAGTGAAATTGCCATCCCATGGATGCAGTCCGTCCGTCTCTCAGACAGACATCCATCTGATGGATGAATGCCTTTCATTTGCACTGGCAAATAAAAATCATTGCAGTCGGACGGTTGGTAATATCTGTTTCTGTTTTTAATAAATTATGTGTGTGCCAAAAAGTCAAAATACTGTAAAAAGTTTCCCGAACATCAGGGCAGGGCATGTAAATGCGAATAAAAACTTGGCACCATTTGCAATTCTCGCTGCCAGCTGGTATCTGCCATCTGACCAAGTTAAATAAAGTTAATTGCGTTTTATGCAGTTCGTCGAAGCAAAGTTTGTTTAAAGATTCATAAATAAAGAAAGACACGACGCTCTGGAGGCCAGGTTAAAAATAATTCTGGCATGATCTTAAGTTTAAACATTTCCAAGTAGGCATTAAAATCAGTTATTTAAAAGCTGTTGTAAATAATAATAAACAAAGAACAATTTAGGTCACTTCATAATTGTTGACGGACTGAACTCATTAAGTTCACCGCTGGGAACTTGTTGTTGATATTACAATTTGTACTTTTGATTATCTGTTTTTGCCACTTTTTGAGGTAGTCCTTGAAAATATTTACAATATTACTAATTTATACTCTCAGTTAATTATAACAATCGCACTTTAGTTGCTAGTTCTGGTTAAATATTGACGAATTCTCAATTAGAAACTGAAGATAGCAAAAATATTTACACTTGATAGTTTCCTTATAAACAGGCACATAAATAGTTTTCATTTATACAAATTCTTGGAAATAATTGCCCAGCTTTAGCTATGGAAAGACAATTTTTCATAATCCAAAAGTCTAAGAAATTATTTTTGAAATTTCTAAGAATTACTCGAATTTTAATATGAAGACTTGGACAATTTTTATTTATTTTGATCCAATGTGTTTCTTTAGGAAGTGATATAAAAGAATTGCATTTATAATATAGAAGTAGTAGTATAGTAGTAGTATTGTAGTAGTATAGTAGTAATTTAGTAGTAGTTTAGTAGTAGTTTAGTAGTAGTTTAGTAGTAGTATAGTAGAAGTATAGTAGTAGTATAGTAGTAGTATAGTAGCAGTTTAGTAGTAGTTTAGTAGTAGTATAGTAGTAGTATACTAGTAGTATAGTAGTAGTATAGTAGTAGTTTAGTAGTAGTTTAGTAGTAGTTTAGTAGTAGTATAGTAGTAGTATAGTAGTAGTATAGTAGTAGTATAGTAGTAGTATAGTAGTAGTTTAGTAGTAGTTTAGTAGTAGTATAGTAGTAGTATAGTAGTAGTATAGTAGTAGTATAGTAGTAGTATAGTAGTAGTATAGTAGTAGTTTAGTAGTAGTTTAGTAATAGTTTGGTAGTAGTTTAGTAGTAGTTCAGTAGTACAGTAGTATAGCAGTAGTATAGTAGTAGTAATCATATATATTTATTCAAAAAACATTATTGACCTAAAATTAAAAAAGATCTTCGCTAAGGAAGTCACCCATTCGCCTAGTGAACCACACACCTTGCTCAATCACCCTTTCCTCTGGCGACATCCCGGTCATAACTTAAGCGATTTATGGCACTTTCAAAACAGATGTTTACCATTTACCATATAGCATATAGATATTAGCCCACCTGCCCCTGCCTGTCGATGTATTTTCACATTTGTCAAGTTTTCACGGTACAATCTTACAAAACCACAAAAGTTGAAAGTGGGAGGCGGCGTGATCGAACATAAAACTGATGTTGAAATATAAAAAATCATTCCGCGTCTATTTCGGCCAAATGGGTGCAGTTCAATTTGTCTATATTTGCCAGAGTGCAAAATGCATTTTTAGGTCACCTTTTATAAATAAGACACAAAGTGTGCTTATAACGCAGTTTTATATGCGAATGCTCCTCGTTTAATGTTTGCAAAAAAAGAAGGCGGAGGATGCTAAAATCTAGATCCCGACTGGGTCCCCACAAAGGCAGTTCTCACCGCCAGATGAGAGGGAAGAGGGCCCATGGGGGGGTCTTTTCAGTTTTCAGTTTTCGGCAGATTGCCAAATAATAATTTCTATAATATTTGCTTATACGTTGGCTCGATTTTGTTGAAATAAAATTCAAAATTTTGCTTCGGGCTTCACAAAGTTTACAGAGATCGGGCGAGGCGAATTCAAATTTTCCATGCGATCGTAAATTTCCCGTTGACTGATTTTGTCTTTTCATGCGGCCAAGCACAGCCAAAAATGCTTATTACTTATATAGATAGATATAGATAGAAATGTTAAATGTATATATTTTTTGTAAGGCACTTAGCACACAACAAAAAAACAGAGGAGGGAGGTTTTTCATATTTTCATTTGAACTATGAGTTATACTTTGCAGACGGAACGTCGACATACAACTTGTTGTTCTACACGGACAACAACCACTGGGACATGTGTTCGGTATCTGACAGATACATTTAGCCGCTCGAAATTTGATTGGCTTTTATTATTTAAAAATCAATTTATGCTAAAAGCACAAAAGAACGGAACCCAAAAGGAATCCCCGTCTGACACTCGCCAATTTCAATTTGATTTCAATTGGCCAAAACGGCAATGCGCTCTTGTGTTTTGGCCAAATTTTATGTCCCAGCTGAATTTGTGTTTCCGAGAATCATGCGTAAATATTTATCTTTGCAAAAATCCATCAATCAATGGCCCAGACTGAAAGGATTGCTACCAGTGCCCAGCTACCCAAGCTTTCTTTCCGTATTCCCACATCGGTCGGTCCACATACGTTCCATTGAGAAAGACACCCCCCACTGGGAAAATTTGTCAAGTTGATATATTAGCTTTGGTGGGCTTAAGGGAAAACATAAGGTCACCACCTCAATTGTCAGAGATTTCCGCATTGGCTCTACTTAGTCTGTGAAAAAGTGGGACACCAAAGGCAAATTTATAACTTTTGCGTGGCTAATTGATGGGGTTATTGATCCTTTTTGGAAATTAAACGATCTTGGTTATTGGGATATTAATATGTTTATAGTCAAATATTACTTTGTAAGAGGTTTGATAATGTATATTATAAAGTAGTTAAAAGAGGACTAAATCTATGATAAATCTTAAACCATAAATGATCTTTCTCAGTTGAAGTCAGAACTTAAAGTTACTTCTCAAACTCACTAAAAGATCCTGGTTGTTGCTTTCTTAAGACAATACAAACTTTCTTCCCGGATACTTTAGCAATGATAAGACATGGACTTTCACTCAAATAAAACTCTTGCTGAGACAGCCAAGAGACTTCAATCCAGTTAACCGAAGCGAATACATTTCCTTTTCGAGTTACAGCCGAGAGTCCATTCCACTGCCAAGTTAATTGCAACTCAGCCGTTTGTTTGACAGGTTTAAGGCCAAAGCTAATGGCATTTTCTGATTGTTGATCCATCGAATCACATGCAGCCAGAACGTGTACAAATAAAAACATGTTTTGTTTGTTTCCCAAAAGGAAAACACAAAAGTTCGGCTGTTGTTTTCCGAAAATTTAAAAACATTTCTTGAGAAAAGTTCAACAGAGAAAATCCCCTTTTTTTTAATAGTATTTTCGAAGGAGACCTGAGGTCGCTGGCTAATCAATGGGATTTCGAAACAAGCAACAAACAAGCAACTATCAATATTTATAGTAAATCTTGAGAGGGCATATGCTTAGAGTTTTTATTTCTCTTTGGCTGTTTGCGGTTTTTCTTCATATTTCCATGCCATATTGTTTTCAGCATCCATTGGCTTTTCCGCAAATTAAGGCGATGATGCTCCCATCTATCCATTGGCTGTTATTGTTATTATCGAGAGGAAAATATATACCGGCTGATTAACCGTATGCCCTAAGTAGTAGCGTGACTCACTGGCATTAATTCCCTGGCAGAACATTTTCCCATTTTCATTTTGGGATGCTATGCGTGTGCATGGCATGATATCCGCTCTGGTTTATTTTTTTTTTTTTTTTTTTTTTGCGGATTTCTCTCGAAAATCGCACTCAATACCTTTTTGTGCTGGTTCTGGCAATTGTTTGAAATCCATGCTAGATTACTCATACGACGTGTGGTGTGTGCTTTTAACTGGGTATCAGCACCGTCGATTGTTGAAGGCAAATGCGGAAGGGAGTCCGGTGGAATTACTCATAGCAAAGAAGAGGTGCTGACTGAGAAGTTTTAAACAATGGCTGTAGACCGGAAATACTATGGTACATCCGCCCCTTGACATAGGGCAAGATCAAGATAAGGTAAATAAAATGAATCTTTTATAGGAGATTTTACTTTTATTTACATGCGATGAAAGGGAGTGAAATATGAAAACAAAGAAGGTTTAATAAATTTGTTTCAGGAGAGTTAAGTTAAAGAAGAGTTTTCCAAAGATTTCTGAAATATTTTACAAAAATCAATTTTGTTTGTGAAGTTTCTTTCCACCAAACTTATTAATCTCCTTTAAAATTAATTGCTTAGAAACAATCAAGAATCTGAAATCAAAATAAAGTAGAATATTCCAAGAAACTACAGAAAAACCCATTAACTCCCACATTAGTTTGAAGGAACTTATAGCTGTAATTAATCTGTTGAAATAGAAAAGAAAAGCAATAGAAGAAAAACCATTTAGAAGGTAATTGTGGTCTCAAGAAAAGCCATTATTTACTCCCCCAGTTGGGAAAACTGAAACGATCGGTGCGTAAATGTTTTTAAATGATTTTGATAGCAAAAAAAGGGGGAAAACAGAAAGGAAAGCCCAAAATTGATCACACGTGTAGTAAAGCAAATGTTGCGGTAATAAATCAGGAAAATGCTCTGAACTTGCCACAAACCTCAAGTAAATATTTATGCCACAAGGCTTAATGAGTGTTTGAATTGTATACTAAATTTAGTTCGATACTAAAAAATCAACTGCTCTGCTCTCCACTCTTCATGCCGAAGACGTCAAAATGGGGAAAACAAATCAAAATATTATGGCCATTAATTGGTTGAGCGTCCAGGCGAGTACGTAAGACCCCAAACCATTCATGATCCTAAGCAGAGTCCAAGAATATATATATCTTATGCCCATCTTATATACGTAAACGGACTCACTTTAAATATTGTCTAAATGAAATCTTACGCAAGCCAGATCGCTGGCAGAGCAATGAAAACAATTGCCCGGCCTGCTGTGGTGCGAAAAGCTCATAATAATCATAATACAAGCTCGTAATCCTCTTTCGGCCTGGCCCATTCAATTTGCGTAATCAATAAGAATTTATTTATGCATTAAAACCAATAAAAAGCAATAGAAAATCGAAGCTGACGCTGAGCCAACGCATACCAAAGTTACCCCAAAAAAAATGAGGTAATAAATATTTGAAATTGAATCGTCGAGCAAAATCAAAGAATAGCAAACAAAAAGCATAGAAAAACCAAGACAATGGCATTTCAATACCCCCATTTTCCAGATGAAACGACTGGAGATGAAAACGAATTGATTGAACAGGTGAGAAAACTCTTTTAATTAAATTGAATAATCAAAGTAAAGAGAGAGAGTGTGCGGGGGTGGGCCAAATTGGTATTTTCTTTTTTTGACAGAAATAAAAGTGTTTCCCAAGAATTTTGTTGGAATCTATACGATTGCCATTTGGCTTATATACTTTTCAATTGTGGCATAAGGAAAACCAGAAGCTAAGTGGATAATATCTTGATTTATATTTGAAAGTTTCGATTTGATTATTTTCCAAATTTAATAAAAATAAAATAAAATTCTGCGACCCTTCTTTGAGAGGTGTATTTCCTTAGAAACTAAATCTCCCTCTTTTCCAATACTTTCCAACACATTCTTTATCCAACAAACTAACCAAGAGTCAAGCATTTATGTTAACAACATCCATAAATCCCTCAATGACCTCATCCAGCCTTGACATCTGAACTGACCTAGAAACGTAACAGTTTGGATGGCACACGTCTAAACCGTTTTCCGGGAAAACCAACAAACAAACAAACAAACAAGCGAAACAATCGATCGAAAACGAATCGTACACTATCTACAAGCTATCTACGACAAGTTGAAGGTTGCCCAAGCGTAGGACCTTAACATCAATCATACGCCCCGTTGGGGGCCAGAATAAACAGCATCCGCGACTTACCCACTGTTTTGATTATCTGATAGTCGTCCAAATGGTATTTGCGTACTCCCTTTGCGGTCTGGACACTGCTGCTCTCCTCGGACTCATCGTCATCTTCCTCATCGTCGGTCTCATTGCCATCGTCCTCTTCGATGGACTCGCTGGAATCGTGAGTGGCATCATCGGCATCTCGTCCATTACCCTCCTCCTCATCGTCATCGTCCTCATCATCCTCCTCGTCGACATCATTGTCATGGTCAGCGGAACTGGTAGTGGTGGTGGTACTACTGCTCCTGCTATTGGTCGAGGGATCTGGCCTCTGTTGCTCCTGGTCTGGATCCTCTTCACTGTAATCGGACTCCAGCGGATCGGATGACTCACTGGAGGCTACGTTGCTGCTGCTCCGACCATTCGAGCGGCCCAATTTGAATGTGAATGTTGTCTCTGTATTGCTGCTGTCATTTGCTGTTGCTGCTGTTGTTGTGCTGCTGCTGTTTGATGGGATTTTCTTTTTGTACGATGACGTCATCGTGTTGCCGCTTCCGTTTCCGGTTGTCAATTTTGATGTGGATCCTGCTGTGCCGGATGTCAAAGGCGTACAGAAGCGGGCACAAGTCGCCGTGGACATCTCTTTCGCAATCCTCGCCTTCGCTTTCACGAATGTCCTTGCCGGTGTTCCTGTCGCCGCCCCTTGTCCTCCTGCCGATTTCCCTGCAATTGAATCGAAATGAAAATGGAAATGAATTGTCTGGTTATATTTGGATAACAAAGCAAATAGCCAGCGTGATTGATTGAAAGCAATGGGCTACTCTAGTCGTAATTACAAAGCGGCCAAGGGTCTAGCATAACATTTTATATAACTTTTTGTAAAAAAAAGAATAATAGTAAAAGGAAAGATGTACTCTGAAATTGAAGTTTTATAGCCACTTTAGCGAGTTAACTATTTAAATCTTTTCCTGCATTCTGACCCCAAAATCGTTTAAGGAAGCAACGACTGTAATTGCAGAACCCACCATAAACTTGCATTCTTTCTTTCCAATTCTATGTACTTCCAGTTCTTTGAGTTCTGTTCACATATCCATTAAAATCGCAGTGGTCTTAGTTAAATGCCGCCTCCATTGTTCTTTCAAATTGCCTTGGGGCGGGTGTATTTATACGCCGAATCCCACAATCCAATCCAAAGAGCTCTCCCATTGCCATAGACCATGGTCGTTTAATTAACCAGCCGAGTATAGTGATGATGGCTTTGTTTTTAGGCCCGTTCGTCGTTCCATTGTAGTGTTCGTAAATTGAAAGTGAAATGAAAAGGCCGCCGGTCAGATATGTACTATATATACTATATGTAGTTCCTGTGCAACAAGTGTCTGTCCCGGGTTTTATCAATACAGAAAAAAAACAGAGAAACAGAGACAGACAGGGTGGCGCCACACGACAAAAGACATTATAAACTTTCAGACCAGGAAAATTGAGTTCGCATGCCAAAGGGTTTCCACCGCGAAACACAAAGGCAGCCTGCAGTCCAGTTAATATCACATACTAATATTATTAATAACAATGACTGCAGTCTTGATTCAATTTGCTGCCTGCCTGGTTGCCAACAAAAGGAGAGCCCAGCGTCCCCAGACACAAAGGCAATTTCTTGTGGGTTCGCCTTAATGCACAGATGCATTTAACTCAAGAAATAATAATAATAAAGACGTTATGATATAGAAGGTATTGAGTTCGGTCCATCTAAAATGCAAAGTCTAGATGGATGCATCTGACTATAAAATCAATATCCATCTATATATGTTTGAGGTCTGTATATATATTCTTGGCTGGCCCGAGTGGCTTTTATTGTTTAAGCGGTTGCCGAGCCAATCTAGGCCAGTTGGTTCACAGAAGAGCATTGCGAGGATTGCACACAAAAAGTGCCCCTAAATATGCAGATTGGAGGGCAGGGATTGATGCGCATCATTAACTACGGCTTTGATTCAGTTCGGCTCCAAGGCCAAGAAGATGACAATGGATTAGTCAGGCGTGGCATTTGAATGGGTGACATCGGAAGGGTTTATGTCGAATTTCGGTGGTATATGATATATAATATAAGATATAAAGGAAATGCTGAATGGCAAAAGCAAATGATTTTTAATGGAAGAAAAAGTAATAAAATCTTAATTACTTTCGAAATGTAATGCCTTTTGGTTGTATCTTTTCAAGTTTTTAGAGTAAATTTCTTTCACATCTAAACTAGAAACTGTTTCATGAGTAAGAAAAAGCTCTACTGTTAACCAACCTGTTTGGTTTTTCCTCAAATTCAAACGATTTACAATTTTCCCTTTTTAATTTACAAACTTGGTATCATCATCTCGTTTAATTTCACAGTCGGTTGCCAAGTTACGGCCAAGCTAAAATTTCTTAATCACGTAACAAATTGTCTACCGCTTGATGCTATTGACACGCCTCACGATCTGAGGGAAAGGGCAAACCCTGATAAACAGGGACTTACGTAAAAATATATAACTACGCCATAAGAAATATTTACTATCTATATCTATATGGCTTTATTGTAGTAGTAAACCTTGCGGTAGGAGAACATTTTGATATTTACGAAAAATACCAACCAACTTTTCTTGGAATTTGGCTTTTGTTTTGTGTTTTTTTTTATTATTATTATTATTACACATTAATTTTATGAACGGCTGTCACTCAAGTTTATTTACGTACGCCTTTAGGAAAATATGAAAATGAAACGCCAACGCATTAAAAGTGCGGAAATATAAATTAAAGTTGTCTAATGCAAAGTGCATGGATTGTTTTGAGAATAATTTCTCAAAAATTATTGTAGACAATCACTCGGGCTGTAAATTAGCCAAGCAGCAAAGACCAAGAAACACAAACAACCGATCTCAGATCGGAAAGTATATAGTATATATATATATATCCACTCATACTCTAAAGATCGGCCCCATTCACCTTGGCGGCTGCCAAATTTGAAAATGGAAATGGAAATTGGGGTCGTCGTTGCCAGCCAGCCACCCAGCCAAATGTTAAATTGTTGCCTAATCTTCCGGTGGCTAGCACTCTTTTTCTGCTTTTTGTGAATGGAAAAACGCAATAAAAAGTATTATTCTAAATATATTTTATACAAAAGTTAAGCGGAAGAATTAGTGGCTGAGAGATAAGGTGGAAATTTCAGGTGAATGAAGCGCAAGATTGCGAAAGATCAGGGTTTACAGGTTCCATAAAGATTCTGATAAGGTTGTAAGAGTCAACAAAGGCCTGACAGGCGTTTACTTTGTAGATTAAATGAGAGAAATAAATTTTATGTTATAAAAATATATATAACATTGTTTTTATTTTACTTTATATAGAATATATAACTTTCCCGTTTTTAAAGGGTAAACCCTGGTTTAGTTAAGATCAAACTTAAAAACTTAAAATGTAAACTGTCTCTTATATTAAAAAATAAATAAGCTTATAATAATTATCACAAAATATTGTTAAAAAAGCTTTCCCCTTTAATAATATTTAACAATTTTTTACTCAAATCTAATTTATGTCCAAAAAATCACATAATTTATTTCGAAGCTTTTTCTTGTTCGAAAAGATTTTCCCCGGAAAAATTATGAAACCTCATCTCATAGACTTGGCTCACCTCACATAAAGACACTTTGATTTATTCAGAATATTAGCAAATATTTTAAAATATTTATACCAAAGAGAAAGAAGAGATTGCTTAATTTTGTGACTGCAGGCCACTTGACCTTTTGATTCGGGAAATTAAATTTACGTGCAGTGCTTGCAACATTTATTAATTCGTTGGGCTAGCCAAGGCATAAATTATGTTATTAATTAATTAAAAGCAACGTGAGGTGATTTGTTTAAAAACAAAAATATATATATATGAAAATGAGTTTATAGATAGAATTTTTGTATGAAAAGAAAAGAAAGAAAATCATCGTCATCGGTGTATTTTTGGGAATTTCCAAAAAGCGAAAAAGATTTTTGCTGTAGGCGTTGGCATTAATAATATTTCTCATACCGCCAGGATATGTAATTATCTGAATAAGTGGATACGTTCGAGTTAACGATGGGGGGAGGTGTTACAAAAACGAAAACGAAAATTCATTGCCCATTTTGGTTTGACAAAAATAAAGATTTCCACCCCTACACCCGCTCCGCCTTTTCTGGGTAATAAACCCCCCAAATGGCAATAATCGTCAAAAATAATGCCGGCTAAATGTAATCATAACATAAAAACATATAACAGCTTTGCTTCTTTTTCGTGGTTTTAATATGAGCATTATTTTGCCTTCTCTCAGAGCGTTTCTCGAACTCGCCGCCTAAGGGCAAATGAGATTTATGGTCTTGGATTTGTTTTTATAGAGCAAGTAGTTCCGTTGTCCTTGTGCTAGTTCCTCCCCAGCGATGGCTATGAAAATATATAACTTTTATGCGTATGGGAAAGTTGGGGAATAGATTTGAAAAGTCCTTGGCTCAGTTTGGGGAGAAGTTATTGAAGCGCGACATGAAGAAAATCTATTTAAATGGGGTCAACTGAACGGAAATAATTGCCAGTTTTCGGGATGAGATATAAGATATTAAAAGAATGCGGATTGAGGTGACTTATTAGATGTATTTTGGATTCTTTTTTGAATGTTTAGGAATATAGAAATTTGCATTCCTAGCATGTTTTGAATATTTACAATTTGTCGCCAAAGAATCTGATGATTTATAAAGCGTTTCAGAGCAAAGAAATACCAAAATTTCGAAAACATTTTCAAAGTCTTAACTGAAATGTTTTTTTCTGTAACAAAAATTGTTGATTAGAAATTATTCACCAAAGATTAAATCTTTTTTCTAAGAATATATAGATTAAATCTTTTTTCTAAGAATATATAGATTAAAGTTTTTGAACTTTACTCCCATTTTTAAATAGCAAGTTTTATGGGATTTTTAAGAAACCAATTTAGATTAAAATATTATATAAATAAAATATATTTAATACTTTTCAAGGGTTTAAAGTAACTAAACTTTGTACATATTTTTAAAAATTTCATATTTTCCTCTAATTTAACATCATTTTTGACCCTTAAAGATGACTTAATTAGATTACCTTTATTTAAACGAAGCGTTAATAGACAAAACCACGAACTTAATAAACTTAATCATAGCATTACTAAGATCTCGGAAATCTCAGTAAGACAAAGCAAAAACAACAAAAAAAAACATACATTAACTGCCGACACTTCTTTTTTATATCTTTTCCACTCCAAAAATTAAGATTTACCTGTCTATGTGAAGTGTAATTAGCTAATTGCACTAATTAAATCGCCCAGCCTAATTATAGTACTCAAAGCTTAATCATCAAAACGAATTTATCTCCACTTTTTGTTTCTATTTTGGAAAGCAAGCATTTATGGCTAATGGCTAAAGGATGCTGTTTTCTTACACTATTTAACACTATTACTCACCAAACTAAATTTTAAGAGCCAACTTGCCGGCCGTTGCCGCCGCTGTTTTGGTTTTTTTTTTGTTGTTGCTTTTACTTAACGATCACGCCGCCGTCGATCTATTTATTGTTGTTGGTCTTCTGGTTGCGATTGTCTGGTTTTGTGAGTTCAGAATCTTTTTTGCTGGAGCAAAATTTGAACGCTTGCGAAATTGTTAAAAATAAATATGTTACTTTAAGAGCGCACGATTTTCCAACCGACTAGCCGTCGAATTTTCCTTCGCGTTTTTGGCCAGCAATAATAACAGAAAAAAACGGCGAAAAACCGCTGAAGCCGACACAGAAACAGAAATAAACTCAACACTCAGCGTTTTTCTCGCGGGCGACTTATAGGTGGTATATAGAGATATATTCGGGGGGTATAGGTAATATCTGTATATATATATATATATAGGTACCAGATCGACTGGACACACCGATCGCGCTTTGCTTTATTTGTGTCACTTTTTTCGTTAGTTTTTCTTACGTTTTTTCTAAGCTGTTTTTTGTTATTGGTTAAGTGCCGCTTTGTTTTGTTTGTTTTGTTTATACGCTGGGATCGTGAGATCCGAGAGATCTAGAATTTCCGGTTTTTGCAGCACACAGCTTGCAGTTTTTCTTTTGTTTTTCGTTAGTCGCCGTTTAGCCAGCACAATGCAAGTAGCACATCCAACTAATCGTAATTAATCAAAACTAACGTTCGGGTAATTTGAATATTTTTTGTTTTTGCTATTTTCCAAAGTTCCTCTAGAGTCTAGACCGAGTTTTTCCAATATAGCTTAAGTGGTTTTTGTTCTTTAGTGTTTTTCTTGGGTTGACCAGCCGCTTCCACGTTTTGCACGAAACTGAAACGTAAAATCTGCGAATCGCTTGCCACAGCTCTCGACGTCGACGTCGACTTCGCTGTCGTGGTTGTTCGGAAAAGAGAGGGGGCGGCACCGACAGGCAGGCGGCCGGGCAGCTACCAACGATGATGATGATTATGATGATGGCCAAGGGGAGAGATGGCTACGGGATGCTCGGATAGTCGGATGTGTTTGTGTTTGCCCACCATGTGTGCGGCGCTGTTTGGTTTTGGCCAAGTGTCTCGAGTGTTGTTCCATTTGAGGAACTAAACGATTTGGCGGCAACAGGATCATCGCCACAGGATGGCGGAGGCGGAGCGTAATCAGCAACGGCGATAAGGCAACCGGAATAGTGTGCCTAACTAATTGACAATGGCATCACGGAACCGAAAGTCTTTATAGAGACCAAAATCTATATAATATTTTATATAGAATTTACATTGATAAAAATAAGGACTCTGTTATGGTTTTGGAAAATATTCCAATTCCTTATTTTAGTTTATTAAAATAAAATTCTTTTATATATTTTAAGCATCAGTTGGTTGTCATATTATCAGTTGTTTTCATAAGTAATGTAATCTGGCCATAAACATCTTAAAGTTCCCCGTAACTTAATCTTAATTACTAATTTTATGAGTTCTGGAAAATGAAAACTGACAAGAATAAGTTGTCCTTTATCTATGATAAGATCTCTGGACTAATATATTTTCTTGAATTACAGACAAACCAAATTACTATAAAACTTTCTTCTTAACCTCCGCTACTTGGAAAAAGTTGCCTTAAAAATATTATGAAGCTTTGCATTTCATGATTAGCCAGTAAAATCATAAAAACAAACTTAAACAGAAAACGAGATATATTGGAAACTTTAAATTTACCTGATTATTGTAAAGCTAAGAACAAATCATCTGGAATCGAGAAATTGGAAATCGAGAAATTCTGTTTTAAATTAATGGGTTTTCTCAGTGAACTTATCGTCAGCTGCGATATGATTTATGGATTACCTTGGCTTACTATAGTTCTTAGAAAAGAGATGCTCAACATTGGAATAAAATCATCTTAAATCAAGTAGTTTATTGGGGAACTTGCAGGTTTTAGAAACACATTTTTCTACCAGAAAGTATTAGCCACGAAATTCACTCTAAATCGTTTAGTTTATACCCGATTTTGTAGATGAGCTGTTTTGCTCAGTGTTTTGTTTGTTTTCAGTAGACATTTCGGCAGCGGCGTTGGTGAACAAAAAATCTGGGAAATATGTTTTGTATATTTACGAGCCCTCCGCCAGTTTAAGCAAACAGCGAGAGCGGCTCTTTAACGTTTTTGGGGTGTTGCGTTTGCATGTTTATGTATGTTGATTTTGTTGGCCGCTGTAATAAAGGCCAGCAAGGTCAGGTGCAACCGAATATGTACGAGTGACGCCTGCGTGCCACAGTCACATTTCAGGTGGCTCACACAATTGCCGTGTGCATTTCAATTTGATGTTATAATTAAGCGAAAGCAGGCACGAGATGTCAGCGCGCTTAACTTTTCTGTTACTATTTTCCGTTTTCTTCGCTTTGGCTGCTGTAGTCCTGTTGTCAAGGGCAAGGACATTGTGTACTCACCTTCTTGAGTGGGCAAAGTGGGCGGGGCAAGTCCTACCCGCAGACCGGAAGACATCTCATATTTGTGCCAGTCTGTCAGCCATAATTATTTAAATTTCTTCATACTTTGAGCTTTAATTTCAACATCTAACTTACTTCGTTTACAGCAGTAAGAGAATCCGATGAACAATTTTGCCAAAATCCATGTGCTAAATATGTAAACTAATGATGCAAGGTCCAAAATATGCCAGACTTTCATATTACAAAAATTTGATTTTTTACCGATAATTTTTTTTGAATTTTCCCGCCCGATATCACGATTACTTTGTGTGCTGTGCTGCCAGACTATTGATTGTTTTATTCTTGGCAGATGGCGCTGTTGAAAAAATTATATACCAAAGGTTTAAACCCAAAATAAGTTTGGTGTTCGTAATAAGTTCGTGGTGTCGTAGTTTTAACAACTGTTCATTTAGTTAATTTCGAAGGATTTCAATATGTTTTTTTATCGCAGATCAGCGATCATTTTTATATATAAGGACTATGGAAAGGAATAAGTCGGCCCTGCCCTCATGTCGTCATAATCCTAGCAGATTTATATATGATCGAAAATTTATGGAATATATTAAATATACCTGTAAGAAAGATATAGACAAAACCGATCGAAAAACTGTTATTATGGAAGAAAAAAATTCAAAAAATTCCATAAGAAGCCGCTAAAAAGTTAGTTTCCTTCATGGGAAGTCGTCTGAAAGCTTTCCTGAACCAAAAAGTAGGAAATACTAGCTGTTAAATTACAAATAATTAGTTAAGTAGAATCTGCTGCACGAAATAATCTGCGAGGCACTGAAGGCTTAGTATTTGTGATAAAAAATGTCTGACAAAAAAGAATTTACTGAATTTTTTTTTAATTTTATATTATTTTAAAGTCAAATTTCGATATAGGCATCATAAGTTTAAACAGTTTTCCATCGTTTAGTGCAATTCAAAATCATTTAGATTATTTTATTATGTAGCCATGTACTTTGTATTTTCGAATATTATTTTTTTAGTTTCGAATACATTTAGCTTGACAGCTTTGTAATGTGCAGTAGCGATTCTTGTTGCCATAACATCCTTCGTAGCCCATATCTTCGCATTTTCTAGTAGCAGAGTTGTAGTACCACATGTTGGGATTTGGCTTTGGGTTACAATACGGTCCCCTGCTTAATTGAGCCGGTATTCCTTCATTCTTACCGCCGTTGCAATTCTGCTTATCTGTTTTTAATTAGAATTAAGTATTTAACCGCTTAATTATTTGTGTGTTTTGAGGTTGAACTTACCAGGAACTCCATCGCATTCCCGGGCAGAAGTAAGGGCTATATAGAGAGCCAGGCTGGCCAAGATCAACAGGAACTTCATTGTTAATAGTTAAGTCTGGAAGGATCTATTGGAACTGTTTTATATAGTAATGGATTGGGCCTTATATTAAACAAAATCTGCCATATTACGAGCCATTTTTAATAATGAATAAACAATGAATTTGCTTAACAATAATCAGTGGACGATTTTTATTTTAACCCTTTTTTCTGTATCTTTTTAACTTACAAACTAAAGGTTTTAGGGTATAAACTTCCAGTCATGGGTGTACGAATAAATTATGTGCAGACTGTACATATAAGCTAGCTCTCCTTCTTTCAAAATTAATTATGATAATATCCCTGGTTAAAATGCAGGGATCGTGAGATCACAGATACATACATATCTAGAATGTCCGGTTTTTGCAGCACAAAGCTTGCAGTTTTTCTTTTGTTTTTCGTTGGTCGCCATTAAGCCAGCACAATGCAAGTAGCACATCCAACTAATCGTAATTAATCAAAACTAACGTTCGGGTAATTTGAATATTTTGTTTTTGCTATTTTCCAAAGTTCCTCTAGAATCTAGACCGAGTTTTTCCAATTTACCTTAAGTTGTTTTTGTTCTTTAGTGTTTTGCTCGGGTTGACCAGCCGCTTCCAGGTTTTGCACGAAACTGAAACGTAAAATTTGCGAATCGCTTGCCACAGCTCTTGACTTCGAGGTCGACTTCGCTGTCGACGTTGTTCGGAAAAGAGAGGGGGCGGCATGGACAGGCGGGCAGCCGGGTAGGCGGCGACCAACGATGATGATGATAACATAAAAATTAGGACTCTGTTATCGTTAGACTATTTCGAAAAGTATTCATATTCCTTATTTTAGTTTATTAAAATAAAATTATTTTATATATTTTAAGCATCAGTTTTTTTATTCTTGGCAGATGGCGCTGTTGAAAAAATTATATACCAAATATTTAAACCCAAAATAAGTTTGGTGTACCGTTGAAAAAAGATGTGCCGGGTTTGGTTGTAATTTTAACAATTGTTCATTTAGTTAATTTCGAAGGATTTCGATATGTTTTTAATCGCAGATCAGCGATCATTTTAATATATAAGGACTATGGAAAGGAATAAGTCGGCCCTGCCCTCATGTCGTCATAATCCAAGCAGATTTATATATGATCGAAAATTTATGGAATATATTAAATATACCTGTAAGAAAGATATAGACAAAACCGATCGAAAAACTGTTATTATGGAAGAAAAAAATTCAAAAAATTCCATAAGAAGCCGCTAAAAAGTTAGTTTCCTTCATGGGAAGTCGTCTGAAAGCTTTCCTGAACCAAAAAGTAGGAAATACTAGCTGTTAAATTACAAATAATTAGTTAAGTAGAATCTGCTGCACGAAATAATCTGCGAGGCACTGAAGGCTTAGTATTTGTGATAAAAAATGTCTGACAAAAAAGTATTTACTGAATTTTATTTTATTTTATATTATTTTAAAGTCAAATTTCGATATAGGCATCATAAGTTTAAACAGTTTTCCATCGTTTAGTGCAATTCAAAATCATTTAGATTATTTTATTATGTAGCCATGTACTTTGTATTTTCGAATATTATTTTTTTAGTTTTGAACACATTTAGCTTGACAGCCTTGCAATGTGCAGTAGCGATTCCTGTTGCCATAACATCCATTGTAGTTCATATCTTCGCATTTTTTAGTAGCAGAGTTGTAGTACCACATATTGCGATTCGGCTTTGGGTTACAATACGGTCCCGAGCTTAATTGAGCCCATAATCCTTCATTCTTACCGTCGTAGCAATTCTGCTTATCTGTTTTTAATTCGAATTAAGTATTTAACCGCTTAATTATTTGTGAGTTTTGAGGTTGAACTTACCAGGAACTCCATCGCATTTCCGGGCAGAAGTAAGGGCTATATAGAGAGCCAGGCTGGCCAAGATCAACAGGAACTTCATTGTTAATAGTTAAGTCTGGAAGGATCTATTGGAACTGTTTTATGTAGTAATGGATTGGGCCTTATATTAAACAAAATCTGCCATATTACGAGCCATTTTTAATAATGAATAAACAATGAATTTGCTTAACAATAATCAGCGGAAGATTTTTATTTTAACCCATTTTTTGTGTACTTTTCAGTAAAGTGTCTTTTTAAGTTACAAACTAGAGGTTTTAGGGTATACATATATGCTAGCGCTCCTTCTTTCATAATTAATTATGATAATATTTCTGGTTTATATGCAGGGATCGTGAGGTCACAGATACATACATATCTAGAATTTCCGGTTTTTGCAGTTTGCAGTTTTTATTTTATTTTTCGTTAGTTGCCGTTTAGCCAGAACAATGCAAGCAGCACATCCAACTAACCGTAATTTATCAAAACTAACTTTTGGATAATTTGAATATTTTTGGTTTTTCTATTTTCCAAAGTTCCTCTAGACCGAGTTTTTCCAATATAGCCTAGTTTTTTTTTTTTGTTCTTTAATGTTTCTCTTGGGTTGACCAGCCGCTTCCACGTTTTGCACGAAACTGAAATGTAAAATCTGCGAATCGCTTGCCACCGACAGGATGATGATGATGATAATGATGATGGCCAAGGGGAGAGATGGCTTCGGGATGCTCAGATAGTCGAATGTGTTTGTATTTGACACCATATGTGCGACGATGTTTTGGAAAATTTGGTTTTGGTTTTGGAAATATTTCGGAAAATATTCATATTCCTTTTTTTAATTTTTTAAAACAAAATATATATTTATATATATCAATCATCAGTGGATAGTCATATTATCAGGTGGTTTCATAAGTAAGTAATCTGGCCATAAACATCTTAAAGTTCGGCCCAACTTAATCTTATTTACTAATTTTATGAGTTCTGGAAAACTAAAACTGACAAAATCAGTTTTGTAGTACTTTTGAAAAAGAATGGCCAGGATCAAAAGTTTAACAATTGTTTTTTATATGATAAATTTCAGAGGATTTATATATTTTTTTATTGCAGATAATCAATCTTGATATATGAGGAGTATGGTAAGGAATAAGACACTATCGAGAAGTCAATTTTTAAAAAATTCTCTCGATCACCCTTCGAAGAGGTTTTAAACCGTTTAACATTTCTGAAATACCTCAGAATTTTAAAATGTTTGGTATATTCATGCGAGCCGGGCTGTATATTTTTATGTTGTACCTTTGGTCACACTATTGCAAATATCTCTAGGATAGTTTATTATTATGCGCACACAACAAATATCTCACCTTAAAACGAATAGTAGATAAACCAAAAAAAATATGCAGTTCTCCTGGATGAAAGTTGCCATATACCTTCTTACTTTCCTCACGTACGCCTATTCCGGATACGGATCCAGCACAATAGTCCATGTAAGATACATTCTCGTGAATCTGTAAAAGATGGTATCTAATATGGCCAACCTTCTCTCCCCGGATTTTTAGCTAAGGGATGCAATTATAGCGGCGGAGGCATTATTTGGTGACGTGTTCAAGAACCTTATAGTTCTGGTGCGCAAATTTCGCACGGTTCATGAGGTTTTCGATGCGGCAGTGGACGAGAATTGCATTTATCAGTGCCCCGCTCCGGATATCGGTGGACCAGGTGTGTGACGCAAATCGAATTATGTAAATTGCCCGGCATCTTGCATATGTATGTGTATGTTTTTCCCTTTTATCAGCACCTCGAGCTGTTCAGAATAAGTTCTATACCCCCACTGCCGATGGCTGTGGCTCCCTGGGCCTCCGGATAAGCACCGACTATCTTCCAGCCAAAGAGATGGAGACCTGCTGCAATGATCACGATATTTGCTACGACACCTGCAATAGCGATAAGGAGTTGTGTGACCTGGATTTTAAGAGATGCCTCTATAAATACTGTGATAGCTACGAAAAGTCCATAGCGAGCGATCTTATGATGAAGGGCTGCAAGGCGGCTGCGAAGATGCTATTTACCGGCACTTTGACCCTGGGATGCAGATCATATCTGGACTCCCAACAAAGGTCCTGTTACTGTGCCCCTCCGAGAAGCTCATCCTATAATAGCAACAAACAAAGCAACAGCAGAGAGAAACAGCAGCGACAGAAATATGGCTGGAAAGATCGGAACGAGATATAGTACAAGATCACTTCTTATGTGGGTGCGGGGCACAAGGGCTATCTTATTAAGTGTGCGTTGAATGTTTTCGTTAATCCGTGTTGTGTTAGTTTATGAATGGGTGGCACTATACGTTGGACTCCCGATTCGACGAATTTCATAATTATATACCAAATAGTGGCATGCCAACGGTCCAGACTGTTAAATACATTGATATTTTTACCAATAATAAAGATGTTTTATTTTTAATGCATTTTTGTCTGCAGCAAAATAAAAGAATAAACCAATGTTCACGTGGCCCTTTATTCAGGATTTTCTTGTTTTTGGGGAAAATAGCACTGTATTTCAAAGTAAACTAATCACATATTTCAAACGCAAAGTATATATTAAAATTTAAGGCATATAAGTATACATTTTAATTTTATAAGTTTTTTTTTTTTTTTTTTTTTTTAAATTGATGACCCCCGACCTGTCAAATAGCGAAAATTTGGCTAAAAATTAAATTTCCGACTTCGGCCACAAAAGTTTATGGGGTGAAAGTAGAGGTCGAAAGCTGTACAAAACAGTCTTTGACTTAGCTCTAGGACTTGTTTTGGCTGAATTATGGAAGAAAAACCAAGAAAAATGAGCAATTTGTGTTTTGGCCTTTTTTCCAAAAATTTATGACCCCCGACCTGTCAAA